ATTCAATCGCGCTATTCTCAGTCTGATTTAGTTTTCGGATTTGAGTAAATATTTCCTCTTGATTTTATTTTATTCTTTAGCTGACTCCCTGATCAACGCTTATTAAAACATTCAAGTGATTAAACATTAGCTCAGTCTGTTAATCATTTGTTTCTTTCAAGCTTTTTACATCTTATGATCATACCATCTCAAAGTATATAACAATGAATATATTCGCTAATCCTATAACTTGAAAATTACATTTTAATGCGCAAAGATTATCCACCAAATAAATAAGGAAATAATCTCATCTAACAGGTTAGACATACCTAATGAACAATAAAAGCGTTATGAATAAGCTTGGGTTTGCAAAATTTATATTTCAGCTTAATCTAAATAAGTGAGTGAACAGTTGGATCGCATCTGAATACATCTTCACTATATCCTACTGATGTTTGTAGTAAAATTTTAACGCAACTCTATTAGTTTGTCATTTTTAGAACACCTTCTATTCGATTAACAAACCAGTGAATGTGGTTTTACATTATTCAAGATATCATAAATAATGTTATTACATTATCTATGCACAGTGTAGTTAATCTAATCAATGTCCATGAACTTGTGGTGACCTACTTTTACCAAGAGAACGTGATTGATAAAATGGAAACAATCATTATTATAACCAATTTTACCAGTGATTGTTTGTCTGTACTAAAGATATTTATCTTTCCTTCGATTGTGACTTTGCACGAATTCGGTTATGCTCAGCAACCATACTTGTACTCCTTTGGCACGATCTCGGTATCCTTTCGATACCAGGAGATCGCCAACAAATGCATTTCGACTGCAGCCATCAACTGCCTTCTGATATTTGGCTTACGGAGGATATTTATCGGTTAACTGGCACGTAGTTTTCTTGCAGTGGTGTTCATAGTTATTCACGACTCGACTGACGCTACAAACCTAATCAATGACATATATAACACTAAAACAACTCATGAATATATCTTCAAGAAGTTTATATCTTTAGAATTTTTTTAAAATCATACATAGACATACAGTGATGAGATTCTCATATATTCAATGTATAATTCAACTAATAACAAACTAGTAGTTAGTCACCTGGAACAATACAGATATGATTTATAAACTTAGTTCATCACCAAAGTATACAATTAGCATATAATAATAATAATTGAACTAAAACAAAAGACAAATACATCAATATGTTTGCAGTTATTTAATATAATCATAATGTTTTACCATTGTATTTTTCCTTTACCTAAAACAATAAATGATATTCATAATGATCATGACTATTATCAAGAGGCAATTACATTGTATAATGTATTACATTCTATTTCATAACTAATTCACATATATCATGCATGACAGAAACACAATTCCAAAAGTCATTGACTTTTAGAACAGATTTTTTGACCAGAAAAAAGAAATAAAATAAAAATTTAAAAAAAAACAAGACTGGTGCATCTTTACAAATTTTGTATTGTATGACATGAAGTACCACAATTGAATTAAAATATTTTTCTTTCATGCATAGGGTACTATGAATAAATCAATAGTTGACTAGTTAATTCCCAAATGTATTTCTTTTTATAAATGTATGTTTATATACATAGATATAATAAACGTAAATCATCATGATTATGATTTTATGAAGAGATTACCAAATTATTACATAATATGGTATAACTTTTTCAAAAACAACAACAAAATATACACAAACTGTGATGATAAAAATCGTTTGTTTTATTCTCTCAAAATTCAAGGTACAACACTTTTATTCATTTCAGAATAATTTTGGTTGATAGCGGTATATTTAATCTATCTTCATTCCGATCATTTAGAGCATTCATGAAGTATAGCAAATGTTATACTTTTCAATTAGCTCAAAACTTCACATTGGTTTTATCAATCCAAAATGTTAACAAGATGATCTTATAAACCTTTGATTAGCAACAATCATTCAGTTGGTGAATGTAATAGGAAGGCAAAAGGAATCACGTTAGTTTGTAGGGTTATTTTTTTTAGGAACAAGGGAGGTAAACAATCATCCAAGACTTGAGTCCTCATCTAAAGCTTTAGAGGTTTCATTGAGACATTTAACCTGTTTGTAAAAAGCTATCATTTCCATGCTTTGTATACGCTGACAACTCTAAATATGTCATGAGTTTACTGAGAGTTCTTCGCGATTTCAAACAAATATTTTAGGTGGCTTGGTCCATGACGTTATTAGACGGATGATATACTGCACAACACGCAATACAGATATCAGTAAATGAAGAATATTATTTTCAATGAAATTTTACCTACATTATTGCTTAAAAATTTATAGAATTGAACAACGATTTACTTAAGATCCCAGTGGTTTGTTACGTTATGAAAGCTGTCTTATTGTGTTCTTAAATAAATTGAACTTGAATCATTATAGAGAGTGAATGCAATTATTTTTCAGTAGCAAACTGAATTTCTGTTATGATTTACTTAGGTTCAAATTATTGATCATTGAGGAATATCTCTCATACTTGAACAGATCTAATGCGACTATGTAAATCAAATGCCTTATACTCGGTGATACTTCAACGACAATACGAAAAGAAAACGTGGTTTCCAAAAAAATTTTGTATGTCTCACATAAAGATAAACAGATCAGTGAATATCATAGTATATGCATTAGTCAGCCAATGGAATACAGGTATGAAATAACTAACACGATCATATCAAAAAGTCATAATAAATTAATGAACTGAAAGGTTACATTGAAAACTGCTGTTATGGCAACACTAAAAGATCATATAAATCCTACTAGTATCTTAACAATTCATTTATTCATGTTTCTCACACAAACATATGTGTCAAAAAATAGATCATTTATAAAAAATTTAATATACATATACGCAAGATGTTAGGAATATGAAACGAAATGAATTTGCCATATGTTACAATATTTGTTGTTCTTGCCCTCCAAGTAATACGAAAAAACGTTTTATTGACAGAAAATCACGAGTTTACTGACGTTTTTGATATACTCCACTCATGCTTTATAATTTAAGTCTTTTACAACATGTATACATTATAATTCATGGGTGTATTTCAAAGTTATTCCTGATTGGTTGATCACTGAGCATTCAGTAACGTTATGTTTATCAAGTCCTTCTGAGTGTTGGTTTTATCCTACCGATATAGTTGTAATGTGGACACTAAGTTTCCTGTCGACTTACTTCAACGACCTTACTTCTAAATATAGTGCACAGTGTTGTGTCACTTAGTCTATCGGTCACACTGCAACTTTATTGATAGAATTCGATTTGCACTAAGAGGTATGTCACAGATAATATTAGTCACTATTTAGTGATCCATCCATTTTAACCATCTTAGTCTCAGATAGCTCATCGGTAACGTTGCACATTCTGAAGGTGATTGGTACGGCATCGAATTTGCCAAGCAGCATCAATTTCTTCAGGATTACGGGAACACCGTGATGACAAGTGTTAAGTAGTACGAAACCTAGATACACAGTTTTATGTAGACTACCTCTAATTACCTAACGAGGTTATTTCTACCTTTCTTCCTTACATATATATCTCTTATTTTCCATTATGATGTATAAGTAAAATCATTTAGGATTTAAATTACTCCGCTGGTGATATTAAAGACTAGATTTTAACCAGTCTATATTGGCATATATGCATTCTGTATAGATTAACTCTGTGTTTCCATTATGAAACAAGTCATTTAGAACAAGTATATGAAAAAAACATTACACCATTTGACCAAGTTAGTGAATATGTAGACTTAGTAAATCGGTGAATAACATATTGATGGTTTGAAACGAAAGGTACTGGGCTCCAGTCCTAGTATGAACATCAACACTGTGACTTATGTACATCCATCTGATGAGAAATAAACAGAATGAAACATGTGTTCTGGAATTCACTTCTTGCTGTAACCCATCTATACTAAATACTTTTAGGGTTTATATTCCCTCAAGAAGGAATGATTCAGTAAGTGTATGAAACTAGTCGTAATAGTTTGTAATAGTTTAGCCTTATGATGTTGTGGGTTATAAGATGAAGGTAGTCAACAGGAAACCCTGGACCCAGGTTTCGTGCTACTTGGCACTCTTCAGCGAGGCGTACCTGTAATCTTAAGGAAACTGATGCTCACCGACGGATTCAATCCCGTGCCACTCAGCTTTACAGTCAGATGCGTTACCACTGGAGTATCCGGGGCACGACTGCGATGTATTTACATTTGATAGATAACTGGGTGGTGGTGGTAATGTCCCTTACTATGAAGCTGAGTGACACGGAATCGAATCCGTCATGAAGCACCAGTTCCCTCAAGATTACAGGTACACCTTGTTGACGAGTGCCAAGTAGCATAAAATCTAGGTCCAGGGTTTCCTGTCGACTATCTCCAACTACCATCTTATCTCAACATGATGCATGCAATGTCGAGTCACCTAGATTAGTGGCGATATTGAAACTTGGTCGATAGGATTCGATCTGCACTATGAAGGACTTGACACACATGACATTGATCACCACAAACAAATAATTCAAAAATGTTATACAGAAAGATATTTTATTAATCAATATCTTTGACAAAATTCATTGTTTGTTTTTTCTCATGTATCTATACTTCGCAATCACTTCCATTCTATAGATAAAAGTAGAAATTCTTCTGTTTTTTTTCCAACATTGTTAAAATCACTGGAATGGCAATGAATTGAAATAACCTATCCACTCATATGATTTTGCTTTAATTTTAAAGTGTTGGAAATGGCCACACATATACATATACACCGAAATACACAATTATAACGATTATTTTTGATTAGGAAAAAAAGATTATTTCAAAGCAACTTGATTGGTTTATTCATTGTGCACACATACCACTTTTCCTATTGTATATGTAATTGTTTTCATATATGGATATAATATGTACATGTTTATATTTGTATGTTTGATATTTGAAATTCCCTTTTTAGAATCAATAAGTTTGTGGATATTTCTCCTATTGAATAAAAACATATAAATGTAGGCGATTACGTTCAACAAGATACAAAGACAGAAAAAAAAAGAAGAAGAGACTATTTATTCAAGTAACGACCCAGTTGAATTATGTACAGATGACAATTTGTATTTCGCAACAATATGAATAGTAACAATGATAATAATCATAATTATGTAAACTGGATATTTCGAAGGTTATGTATTTCGAAGTACTTTTATTTTTAAACTTTCACTGTGGACAATCATTCAAAAAAAATATGAAATTAGATCATTGATTGTAATTTTTAATAGTTTCAATAATTCTTACTTCTTTTTTTCCTTCTTCAAACATTCAACAATTTCGAATAGAACAAAACAAATTAATTAATTTGTCATTATAATTATTATTACGATTGTTGGCAATGGTTATATAATTGTTTACAGGATATAATTGGACAAATATTAATTTTACCCTCGTCTTAACAAAGTAACAACATGACATATGTAGAGAAAAGATTAATTCTACGTAATGGACCACCGTGGGGATTTCGACTTTATGAAGATTTTATGGAAGGGTTAATTGTTGCTAAGGTAAGTAGAAATGTATTTACTTAACTTATATTTAATTTTTATAATATTTGTAAGCGATGATGGATAGTGGCTAGCAGTGGAATCCAGGACGCGCGTTCCATCCTATTTGGGACTCATCAGCTGGATTTACCTGCATCTCAGAGTTGATGTTCACTCTGGGACTCGAACCCAGTACCATTCGCTTCAAACGCCATCGTGTCATCTGCTGAGAATTCTATATTGTACCAAAAAGATAATATTGAATAAAGCCATTAATAATAATAATAATACTCAGCTACTGAGTCCTGATAGCCACTTGCTTGTGCAATGTGGCGAATTTGAATTCACTTGGTATTGTTTGGATTATATCTTCCCATTGTGGTTTAAGACTGCAATTGATCAGTCTGTTATTGGCATATGTGCATACTGTGCGTATGCCTCGATATTGCCTTAATTCACAACCTTTTTCTAGGCAATAATGGATGCAGGTACATCCAGCTGACGGGTCCCAAATAGGACGAAACGTGTGTCTTGGATTCCACTGCTAGCCACTATCCATCATTGCTTACAAAAAGCTTGTGAATTAAGGCAATATCGAGGCATACGTACAGTATACACATATGCCAATAACCGACTGATCAATTGCAGTCTTAAAGCTGAATGGGAAGATACGAGCCAAACAATACCAAGTGGATTTTATAATATTTGTTGAAGCCCAATTCTACAAAAATCATGATCCAGATTTTAATTTTAAATCATTTTCAGAAATTTTATTTTTGAGAATTCTTATGTTAATTAATTCATTTTATAAATGACATAGTAATGAAGTGTTTTTAACTGGGATAAAATGAATGTACAATTATTAATGGTTGTTAATGGTACATTAACTTGTATTAGTCCATGGCGTATAATGTACTTAAAATAATTGCCAGTAAGTTAATTGTAATAGGAGTACGAGCAAATCAGACATTTAGAGATTAGTATGTTAATAACGTTTTATACATATTTACGTTTGTTTGTTTTTTCGAACTCAATGTGACATATTATGGGATTGGTCTTATTCCCAGTAGAACATTTTAACATTGATTTTAATTTTGATGCAACATTATAGTCAGTACAATAATGGCAACATATTTTCTAGTGTAACGTAATTTTAGGTCAATATAGTTTGTACCAGTTAAGTGTGATTTTCATTCATAATGATAGGTATAAATCTTTTTTTTAGTGTGATAAATACATTTGTTGTATTGTTCTTTGTGAACTTCGTATGTATTTTACAATAATCTTGTGTATCTTTTCACTTGTATGGTGTTTATTTACCAGTCATTAGGTGAGTAAAATTAATATATGAAAGAGCTTGATTTGATCTTCATTGAACTAGTCTTTTTGTTCTTACTCTGCATCGTTAGAATCATAGTAGTTCTTATTTCCAAGTATAAGAAGCGGGACTAAGGATACAATGAAATGTTATAATCTATGTTTGTAGATGTAGATTATCTGATTAGGTTATTTGGGTGAAATGATTCAGAATTAGTCATAGTGACACCGATGGATCTACTCTTCATATTACTTAAACTCTTGAGTCTTAGTATTCATTTCTATATACCTTTCCATCCTGTCTTATCGAACTATATTCGCAATGCTTAGTCGTTCCCATTATTATTATTGCTACATGGTCTTGATACCTTTGGAATTCATTTTCATAATCTCACATTTCCGGATATTAGCAAGGGCTAATATTGTGTATACAATATATACAGTACATTATAATAACTAGCATGTTTTCAATCCATGTTTAGTTTGAGCTTGTTATTAAGTTTTACTGAAACAATTATCTAAAGGACTTTCTCATCAAAAATGTTATGGAACATTCTAAATTCAAGCAAACTGGAAATGTAGGTTAACGCTAATAATACGTATTGCTCTGTTTACTAATGTAAGTCATGAATGTACACTGTCTGCGAATTCCATACGGGGACGTAACAATAATCCAGTGCTTCATGTTCTTCAGAGGTTGTTTAGGTATTATGAATGAATAATGTAATCTGTGAAAATTATACTTTGTTGTTCATATTTTAATCTGGAAATATTCACAAAAGTATGTCAAATAGTTTTAATTAACGGTGATTAACTGACGTTTATTTTCAACCCCCAATATCTATCAATACTATCATTCTAATATGAACTCCCTTCTTTTTTCCATCTCAGCATTTTTGAGATTCGTAAATTCTTACATAATCACCTATTATTTCTCCAAAACATTGATAAAATGGGTCATTGTGATAATACACAAACTGTGACGCTATTTTCACTTAAAGTCTGCGTTATATTTATCATCATGATATGTTACAAAATCTATAAATGTATCAGTACATTATTTTATGAGTACATTACGATTCGTCGATTATCAATAATTAAACTAGGAAAACATATTAATCTAATACTTGTGAAGTTAAAAACAACTTGGTTGACTCAGAGATTTAAGCAGATCATCTTGAAAAGCTGTTGTTACAAGTCAGTGTTAATTAATTTGTCAGGACTATAATTTATGAGTAAACTAATCAGATTCAACTTAGTAGCTTTTGAATTTTGGCGCGAAATTCACCTATCAGTATAACTAAGTGGCATTGTAATGTTATATCAGATTTCAGTTTGTGAAGACATTTCACACTTCAGCTCCATACTCTTATTTCTATCTTCAACTACGAATCTTACTTCCTCACACTAATTCATAACCCATTTCTGGCCCTAGTAAGTAGCTGAAGTATTTCAAGGTCACTTTGATATAGCCCAGAGGTTACTCATAAATTATGGTCTCACCATCGATTCAATACAAATCAGAGAATACTGAACATTTGCTTCTATTTACTTTCATACGTACATGTATTGTAATCAAAACGAAGATTTCCAAACGGACTTTCCCTCAGAATGGACATTAGTTTAGCTTCAGTCAACTTGGGAAATAATAAGGTAATAAAGTGTGCAACAATTATTTTCAGTATCGAGTGAAATTTGTGTATCAGTTTAAATTAAAACATCTATCAAATCCAGACGATTGGGTACAATCATTAGGAATTCTAGGATATAAATTTCATGTTATTTAACAATGATTGAGAAAAACGTATCTTCAATCTTGGGGGAATCGATTCCCCCAGTGGCATTCAAACTCAATTAATCTAATTACACAATCAAAAATGTAACCACTAATCCACTTGAATCGAATAAAAGCGGTCTCTTTAGGTTGAGTTTCAACTAAAATGGAACCTGTATTCAATGATGTGGGTAAATTTTGAGTCATCGTTGAACAACGATTACATTTTGAGTTAATTGATATAATTTAATTAGCATAAGGGACCAGACAAACATGAAATATTATTTAATACATTGTTATCAGTCAGTGTAGTGCTGGCTAATGTATGTTACTTGAGAAGTAATCTTATATAAGAAGTTAAATTGTTGTTGTTTACTATCGTATTGGTTTTCAGTACAGTTTAAGATACACACAAACAAATGCAGATAAAGACAACCAGTGTAGCAGCAGTCTCTGCATCAGTAGGCCTCAACATACACAAGGGGAAAACCAAGGTCCTCAAATTCAAAGCGGAGAACAGCAATCCAATCACACTTGATGGCGAAACTCTGGGAGATGTAGAATCCTTCACATACCTAGGAAGCATCGTCGATGGACAAGGAGGATCAGATGCAGACGTGAAGGCGTGGATTGGCAAAGCAAGGGCCACATTCCTACAACTGAAGAACATATGGAACTAAAAACAACTGCCTGTCGACCAATATCAAAGTGAGAATCTTCAGTGCAAATGTCAAGACAGTTCTACTGTATGGAACTGAAACCTGGAGAACTACAACAACCACCATCAAGAAGGTACAAGTATTTATGAATGGTTGTCTACGCAAGATACTCAACATCCACTGGCCGGATACCATCAGCAATAGCCTTCTGTGGAAGAGAACAAACCAACTTCCAGCTGAAGAAGAAATTAGGAAAAGACGATGGAAATGGATAGGACATACATTACGCAAATCGTCAATCTGCATCACGAGGCAAGCCCTAACTTGGAATCGTGAAGGGAAGCGGAGAAGAGGAAGGCCAAAGAACACATTACGTCGGGAAATAGAAGCAGATATGAAAAGGATGAATTACAACTGGAAAGAGCTTGAAAATATTGCTCAGGACAGGGTTGGATGGAGAATGCTGGTGAGTGGCCTATGCTCCTTCACGAGGAGTAACAGGCGTAAGTAAGTGAGTAACAGTTTAAGATAAATCAGCATAATTCAAAGCAATGAGAAATCGTATAGATTAGATACCAGACAGGAACTGAATGTATCATGTTAAACCTATTCCATCTAAAGTATCTCAGCTAAGTGGATTTATTTAAATACTTATATAACAGCAGAAACTGAGTATGAATTTTGTTGACTGCGGTTAATCATTTAATTTTATATAATGATTATAGAGGAATGATTCCGTATCATTAGCACAATTTTCACAACAAACGAATACGAAAGAACCAAATAGTTAGTTAGCAGTATAGAACTTCACAACAGTGAACATATAAAATTCCACCAAGGATTAAATCTAGATCTCAGGTAGAGTTCTAAATGAGGGATAACTGGCGTCTCCTCTCATGCATCTTCGATTGCCTGATTCCAGTTTCTGAAATATTTGCTTTTTAGCTTACCAATATGACTACCGTCACCTATACTTAAATAAAGATTTCCTCGGCATATATATATATATATATATATATATATATATATATATATATATATATATATATGTCTTCTGAAAGTTAACTGTGTTGACTAGTTGGAAAATCCTTTTAAATAGTTTTTAAGAATAAACATGTTGGTTCTGATTATAGTGTTAACGATAATTACGGCATACTATGTACTAATACTGAGAGGAAAACAAAATCCATAAAATCTAATGGAAATATCATCTAACTGTTTATTAATAACCTACTTATATCAATCATTAATAGTTAAGCGATTATTTTTTA